TCAAGATGGGTAGCCCTGTTAGTCTGTCTGTAGCAGTAGAAAAGAGCAAGCGTTCAGGAGCACCTCAAGGACTAACAAAATGTGTCTCTTGAGAGTCCCCTGGACTGCGAGGAGTTCAAATCAGTCGATCCTAAAAGAAACCAACCCTGACTGTTCCCTGGAAGGCCAGATAATGAAACTGAAGCTCAAATACTTTGGCCACCCAATGAGAAGTGAGCACTCACTGGAGAAGAAGACGCTGTTGCTGGGAAAGATTGAAGGTCAAAGAAGAAGGGGACGGCAAAGGACAAGATGGTTAAGACAGTGTCATCGAGGCAACGAACGTGAAATCAAGCAAACCCCGGAGGACGGCGGAAGACAGGAGGGCCGGGCACGTGAGATGGTCCATGGGGGTCGCGAAGAGTCGGACTCGACTCTGTGACTGAACAACAACAACAAGGAGCGTTTAAGCTCATTTTGTTAGTCTTTAAGGTGCTGCTGGACTCTTGCTCTTTTTTGCTACCCTCGACTTACGTGGCTATGGGTGATGGGAACGGCCATCACGTTGCAGCCAGGTTATGGCTGACCCCCGTAAGGTCTTTAAGACAGGAGATGGACAGAGGTGGCTTTGCCCTTGCCTGCCTCTGCGGAGCAACCCCGGACTTCCTTGGCGGACTCCCATCCGAGCCCTGACCTTGAGCCGACTCTGCTTCGCCTTCAAGATCTGGTGGGATGAGGCCAGCCTGGGCTATCCAGGTCAGGGATCTATAGAATGAGCAGCTTTAAATACTTACACACTCACCGAAATAATTGCATGCAAATGAACCCTAGGGAATTTGGGGGGGAAGCAGAACAGTATATTCGGATGTGGGATAGCCTGTTTATGATATCATGTCCCTGTCTCCCCCCCCAATCCTGCATTCCCACATTTAGGTCCCGTCCCTGGAAAACTGGACAAAGAAAGAACGAAAGCCTCAAAAACATCCGGTAAGAGACTATCTGATTGCTGTGCCCCCCCACAAAAAGAATTAGAAGTCAATTTTTCAACTTGCATAAAATAGGAAAACTAAGGAAATTTGCCTATACTTTGGCATAGTGGTTAGAAGCGCAGCCTCTATTCTGGGAGAACCGGGTTTGATTCCCCCGCTCCTCCAACATGCAGCTGCTGGTGTGACCTTGGGTCAGGCACAAGTTCTCTCGGAGCTGTTCTCTCAAGGGCAGTTCTCCAGAGAGCTCTCTCAGCCCCGCAGGGCCCTGATCTCTTCTGGGAGCTCACTCCACCAGATTGGAGCCGCCACCAAGAATACCCTGGCCCTGGTTGTGGACAGCCTGGCCTCCTTAGACTCGGGACGGCCAATCGGTTCTGGGCTCCTGAACGCAGTGCTTTCTGGGGAATATGGGGGGAAAGGCGGTCCCTCAGATATGAAGGCCCCTGACCATAAAGGTACTATTAGAGTTATGTATTAACTCACTCCCTGACATTTTGTGGTTGTGCTCACCCCCCTGCATCCGAATCCCAAAGGTATCCACATGCTAAAAAAAGGTTGGGGAGGGTCCCTGGATCTGGCCATCTTACTCGGATTTCAATTACGTGGTAGTAAATCGGTAAAAGCCAGTTTGGTGTAGTGGTTAAGTGCGCGGACTCTAATCTGGGAGAACCGGGTTTGATTCCCCCACTCCTCCACTTGCACCTGCTGATGTGACCTTGGGTCAGTCACAAGCTCTGGCACAGCTGTCCTTGAAAAAGAGCAGTTTGTGTCAGAGCTCTCTCAGCCCTACCCACCTCGCAGGGTGTCTGTTGTGGGGAGGGGAAGGGAAAGGAGTTTGTAAGCCGCTCTGAGACTCCCAAGTGGAGGGCGGGGTATAAATCCAATCTCTTCTTCTAAAAGAATTCCGGCTCAAAAATACAGAAGCTGTAATGATGTACAAAACGCTTATAATCTCACAATAATGATACAGAAATAAACAGTAAAATTGAAAAGTATTAATTCCCAACAGGTATCAGAAAGATGGGCGAGCGTCTCCGGAGTTCTGGCATTCGTTTCGTGAAGAACTTCTTCCAAACATCAAGATGTGATAGTGTTGTTCCATAATGTGTAAATCCAATACAAAGGTACTAATAGCCTATATGTTGAACATGTTCTTACATAACAAATCCTTCCATCCACGGGCACCCGAAGTGTACTAGCAACCCGAAACGAATGCCAAAACTCCAGAGAAGCTTGTCCATCTTTCTGATACCTATTGGGAATTAATATTTTTCAATTTGACTGTTTATTTTTATATCATTATTGTAAAGAATTCCGGCTCGGCTGAATTCTATCCTCTTTGCCCAGCAGAGTTGAATCTTATTTATTGTCTGGGGCCAAAAGGGATTTCTACAAATTGATTTTTATTTATCTTTTGCTCGTTCTGGGTATTGAGCTGCTGTTGTATGAAAGTCCCTCTCCCTTTTTATTTCCTTTTCCCCCAGCGGATGGTGACCCACACTTTGTCGTCGATTTCCCCTTGAGCAAGCTAACCGTCTGCTTCAACATTGACGGGCAGCCCGGCGATATCCTCCAGCTGGTGTCCGATCATAAGAACTCCGGTAGGATGAGGCAGGGCGCTGGGCTCTTTTTGTAGCGGGAACTCCTTTGCATTTTAGGCAACGCACACCCTAATGTAGCCAATCCTCCAAGAGCTTACAGTAGCCCTGTAAGCAGAGCTCTGTGAGCTCTTGGAGGATTGGCTATAGGCAGGGCTCTTTCTGTAGCAGGAACTCCTTTGCATATTAGGCGACGCACCCCCTAATGTAGCCAATCCTCCAAGAGCTTACAGTAGCCCCTGTGAGAAGAGCTCCATAGAAGGTAGAACCAAAGTCCAGAGTAGATATCCAACACTTTTCCTTCCAGGCATGTTTGGTCCTGTTTACATAGAAGCAACCTTGAGAGGTGCACATTAAAGCTTAGGAGACCTGGCCCATAAAGAAACTGAATAGTATTGTCCTGTAAAGAAATTGGAATGAGACTTCCTAATGTTGTTCTTTGTTCCTGAGGAAGGACCAGAAGCCTGAAACACTGCTTACTACCTAGGAAAAGTGTTGGATAACTACTCTGGACTTTGTTTTTTCCTTCTATGGATCCTGTGGACGTCTGTATATTCCCATGATGGATTATATGTATTGATTCATTTTTTATTTACATGTGCATTTCACTTTGTTGAAGTCTCCTTTTGGATATACTTTTACGGGTCATTCAGCTCACAGTTGTTTCTTGATGTCCCTTGCTGATTTTTGCTGTGGGCTGTACTCAGGGCTATTTTGGGGCAGGAACGCACAGGAACCGAGTTCCGGCTGGCTCCCAAGTTGACCACGCCCAGCAGGAACTCATTAGCATGATAGGCCACACCCAATAACAGAAACTCATTAGGATTGGCTACATTAGGGGCGTGGCCTAACATGCAAAGGAGTTCCTGCTACAAAAAAAGCCCTAGGTTTTGACAACAAACAAGATGAACAGAATAAGAAGCAAAAGGTGGGTGTGGCTGGATGACCACACTTCTGGTAACATGGGGGTGCGGCCTAATATGCTAATGAGCTATGCTCTCATGGGTGTGGCTGGATATGCTAATGAGTTTCTGTTGTTGGCTGTGGCCTAGAATGCTAATGAGTTCCTGCTGGGCTTTTCCTACAAAAATAGCCCTGGCTGTACTGTTTGTTGTTGGTCGTCCCACGGACACCGGCATGCCTTTTCCTCGACGGCACGGGGAGGGGTGTGCAGCTATGAATGCAAATGCTGTGCCCGTCACTGTCTGCACGCTCCGGCAGTGCCGGGCAGCCCGGATAACTAGGAGCATAGGAGATGGAGCACTTGCCAGCCAGTGAGTGAGGGAAGAGCTGGCAGACAGGTGGCAGAGGAGCTGTGTGGGCAGGGGCTGGTGGCAGTGGGCCCTGCCAAGAGCCGTGGGCCCTAGCAAACACCCCACCTCGGAGTATGCCGATGGCTTCCCTGGATGGGTCTGTCGACTCTGCCTCCTGACGCCCCACTTCAGGGGCATCTAGAGAGCCTCCAGAGAGCCAGTTTGGTGTGAGAGCCAGTCTGGTGTAGTGGTTAAGTGCACGGACTCTAATCTGGGAGAACTGGGTTTGATTCCCCACTCCTCCACTTGCACCTGCTGATGTGACTTTGGACAAACCATAGTTCTGCCACAGCTGTCCTTGAAAAAGAGCAGTTTCTGTCAGAGCTCTCTCAGCCCCACCTACCTCACAGGGGTGTCTGTTGTGGGGAGGGGAAGGGAAAGGAGTTTGTAAGCCGCTCTGAGCCTCCCTTGGGTAGTGAAGGGCGGGGTATAAATCCAATCTCTTCTTCTTCATCATCATAATTTGTCCCAATCCTAAGTGGCCCCGATCCTGCCGAGACTCCACATGCTTGGCCCCTGATCCTGCAAGCGTATCCAGTGGCTCTAACATCTAACACTGTCCAGCTCACCCTTATGGTTGCCAAACTCCAGCTGGCACCTGGAGATTTCCCATTTTACAATTGATCTTTGAGCGGTCAAGATCAGTTCCTCTGGAGAAAAGGGCTGCTTCGGAGGGTGGACTCTGTGGCATTCTACCCCTCTGAGGTCCCGCCTCCTCCTGAAACCACGCCCTCCCCAGGCCCCAAATCTCCAGGTATTTCCCAACCCAAAGTTGGCAACCCCCCCTCCAAAGAAGGCATTAAATTGGTGGAAGTGATCATGTCGTGTTTTTTTTTTTTTTGAGCAAAGGTTTCCATCTTAGTGGCTGGTGTCCAGAGCTTCTGGAATTCCCGAGCAGCCCTGATTGTTAAGGGGATTATTTATGAGACCGTAAAGCACCCGACTTGACAGGGAGAGGAAGAAGTCACGGGAAAACTGAGAGCGTGTAACAATGGCTGTCGTTATGGAGAAGGAAAGCCAATATCAAAGTGGGAGATCTCTGCTGGGATTTCCTCAAGCCTTCCTTTTCCACCCACTCCTTCACCCAGAACACCTCCCCCCCCCCAGTGTAAACTGATTTCCTGCCAGGGAACTTCTTTTCCTGCGGCTTAGCAGATTCTATGGCTTGGATGGAGCACCGTTAGGTTTATTTCCCTTCGGTTCCAGCTGCATTTTATGCAAAGTCCCACTGGTCTTTCCTTTGTGGGATCGTGTTTTTAAAAACACAATCCCCAGCGCCTTGTGGCAGGGGGTTGCCAACCTCCAGGTGGGGACTGGAGATCTCCTGGAATTATAACTGCCTTCCAGACGACAGAGATCAATTGCCTGGGAGAAAAGGATTGCTTTGGAAGGTGGACAGATTCTATGGCTTGGATGGAGCACCGTTAGGTTTATTTCCCTTCGGTTCCAGCTGCATTTTATGCAAAGTCCCACTGGTCTTTCCTTTGTGGGATCGTGTTTTTAAAAACACAATCCCCAGCGCCTTGTGGCAGGGGGTTGCCAACCTCCAGGTGGGGACTGGAGATCTCCTGGAATTATAACTGCCTTCCAGACGACAGAGATCAATTGCCTGGGAGAAAAGGATTGCTTTGGAAGGTGGACAGATTCTATGGCTTGGATGGAGCACCGTTAGGTTTATTTCCCTTCGGTTCCAGCTGCATTTTATGCAAAGTCCCACTGGTCTTTCCTTTGTGGGATCGTGTTTTTAAAAACACAATCCCCAGCGCCTTGTGGCAGGGGGTTGCCAACCTCCAGGTGGGGACTGGAGATCTCCTGGAATTATAACTGCCTTCCAGACGACAGAGATCAATTGCCTGGGAGAAAAGGATTGCTTTGGAAGGTTATGCTAATGAGTTCCTGCTGGGCTTTTTCTACAAAAAGAGCCCTGCACCCCTCAAATCTCCAGGAAATTCCCAGCCTGGAGTTGGGAACCACACTAGTGCAGGATGGGACTGGGCAGAAGCGGTGGCAGGGTGAGGACAGGGGGTTTAATTCTCCTTTGTGTTGCTTTCCCCCCATTCTGCTTTTTCAACTGTGGGAAGAAAGATCTGGAGATCTTTTCCTCCCTATTGGTGAAGAAGTGGGAAAAGGGTAGGGTTGCCACCTTTGGTTTGTGAAATACCTGGAGATTTGGAGGGTGGAGTCTTGGGAGGGTGGGGTTTAGGGAAGAGTGGGACCACAGCAGGGTACAGGGCCATGGAGCCCACCTTTCAAAGCAACCGTTTTTTTCCCGGGGGGACTGATCTCTGTAGTCTGGAGAGCAGTTATGATTCCGGGGGATCTCCAGTCCCCACCTGGAGGTTGGCAACCCTATGCCACAAGGCGCTTTGGTTTTTTAAAAAAGCATGATCCCACAGAGGAAAGGATCTCCAGACTCCACCTGGAAGTTGGCAACCCTAGGAGCAGTGTCTCATGCACTCTTGCAAGGGAACCTCCCTAAATGTCCTTCTCAGCAGAGTACTTCAAGCAGTGTTCTGGTCCTTCTCATAAGAACGTAAGAGAAGCCATGTTGGATCAGGCCAGTGGCCCATCCAGTCCAACACTCTGTGTCACACAGCGGCCAAAAATACCAGGTGCCATCAGGAGGTCCACCAGCAGGGCCATAAGAACGTAAGAGAAGCCATGTTGGATCAGGCCAATGGCTCATCCAGTCCAACACTCTGTGTCACACAGCAGCCAAAAACTAGGTGCCATCAGGAGGTCCACCAGCAGGGCCAGATTAACTCCAGAAGCCCTCCCACTGTTTCCCCCCCCCAAGCACCAAGAATATAGAGCATCACCGCCCCAGACAGAGTGTTCCCTCTATACCTTGTGACCAACAGCCTCTGATGGACCTCTGCTCCATATGTTTATCCCTTGTCTCCTCAGGTGTGACGGTGAACGGTCAGCTGATTGGGGCCCCGGCACCGCCCAACGGCCATAAGAAGCACAGGACCTACTTTCAAAGCATCACCGTTCTCAGCAACAAGCCAGACAGAGCCTACCTGGAAGTCACGCCCACCAAGGTCATCTTGGACGACGGGGAGAGGCTCGTCTTGTCCTGCGACCGCAGCGCTGTGGTGGGAAGCCAGAATCTCGAGGTCTCCATCTTTGCCCGTTCCAACGTGACGGTGGTGATCCGGGGCACCATTGCTTTTGTCATCCTGATCCACCATTACAAGAACCCTGCTCCTTACCAGAAAGATCACTTGGGGTTCTACATCTCCAATGGCCAAGGGCTCTCCTCCAGCTCACACGGGCTGCTGGGTAAGTAAGAGACATCTCCAAGGTTCTGTGGAGCCACCTGAGAACATCAGACTGGTTGTACCAGGTGGACTTTTGGTCTGACCTAGTCCAGCCTTTCAAGTGACGGGCAGCCTGGTAGACCTAGGAAGCTAGGCCGTGATTCCGGTAGCCAGCCACTGAGATCTGTCCCCATCATTCAATGATGATCACACAGATGTTTTGTTAACTTAGGGGCTAAATTTAGGGTTGCCCAGGTTGAGAAGTACCTGGAGATATTGGGCATGGGGGTACAGGATTTAGGGAGAAGAGGGGCTTCAATGGGGTATAATGCCATAGAGTTCACCTTCCAAAGCATTCATTTTCTCCAGGTATACTGATCTCTGCTGCTTGGAGATCACTCAATGAACTTGCTGAGCAGTCGGGTTAGAACAGATAAAAGGAAGTACTTCTTCGCCCAAAGAATGATTAACACATGGAATTCACTGCCACAAGAGGTGGTGGCAGCTACAATCATGGACAGCTTCAAGAGGGAATTAGGTAAACATATGGAGCCGAACTCCATCAGTGGCTATTAGCCACAATGTATAGATAGGAACTCTCAGTCTGGGGCAAGGGATGCTCTGTATTCTTGGTGCTTGGGAGGGGGGGTAACAGTGGGAGGGCTCCTAGTGTCCTGGCCCCACTGCTGGACCTCCTGATGGCACCTGGTATTTCTGGCCGCTGTGTGACACAGAGTGTTGGACTGGATGGGCCTTTGGCCTGATCCAACATTGGTGTCTCTTATGTTCTTATCAGTTGTAAATCCCAGGATATCTCCAGCCACCATCTGTAGTTATGTTCCTTGCCTGCAGGGCTAGTAGCTACCTATCTGTACATTTGTATCTTGCCCTTCTTCTCAGGACTTTATCCCCACAACAGCCTTCTGGGGTTGGCTATGCTGAAGGAGACTGGGTGACCCAGGGCCACCAAACATCACGGCAAAGTTTGGTGTCATGGTTAAGAACGGCAGACTCTAATCTGGAGAACCGGGTTTGATTCCCCATTTCTCCATATGCAGCCAGCTGGGTGACCTTGGGTCAGTCACAGTTCTCTCAGAGCTCTCAAGGGCAGTTCTCTCAGAGCTCTCTCAGCCCCACCTACCTCACAGGGTGTCTGTTGTGGGGAGGGGAAGGGAAAGGAGATTGTCAGCCGCTCTGGTGGCTGGGGATTTCCTGGTAGTGCAGCTGTTCTCCAGGTGAGAGAGAGCAGTTCCCCTGGAGAAAATCGCTGCTTTGGAAGGTGGACTCTATGGCATTGTGCCCCACTGAGGTCCCTGTCGTCCCCAAACCCCACCCTCTTCTCAAGCTCCACCCCCGAGAACTCCAGGTATTTCCCCACCCAGAGCGGTCAACCTTCATCCTCACTCATACGTTTCCCTGGCTTCTTTTGTAGGTCAGTTCTTACACCAAGTGGTCAACCTTACCCAGGTTCCCCATGGCCAACGTCCCCAACTGGGCAGCCGAAACCAAACCAAAAGCACGGACACCAGCGCCGGCAACGTATTACAGCTGAAAGGGCGTCTGGTCCCGGTGGTGTGGAAGCAGAGGAGAATCTACAACGGCGAGCAGGAAGTGGATTGCTGGTTTGCCAAGAACAACGCCGAGAAGCTGATCGACGGGGCCTACAAGGATTACCTCGCCTCTCACCCTTTCGACACAGGGACTAGCGGCGCGGTGGGGAGCAGACTCTAAAGAAGGAGCGGTCCGCCGGCGCAGCGGAAGCCGTTACTCCCGAGAATCCAGAGAAGATTCATGCACTTTTGCCAGCTCTTTGCTATGCCAAAGAAGGCGCCAAAGCGACAAAGGGGCTATTCCTGTCACAAGGCCGCTGGCCTGTGTGTTGTCTTAACTGAGGACACTTTCACAAGTGACACCAAGGCAACTTTTTAAATATATATATATATATAATGTGGCTTTTTAAACTCTGTGAATAGGGTTGCCGACTAGGGTGGCCAAGCTCCAGGGGGCGGCTGGAGATCTGCTGGGCTTACAAGTGATCCCCAGGGGACAAAGGACCACTTTGGAAGGTGGACTCTTGTCAGGCTTCCCCACAGCATCAACGAAGTACATTCTTGCAGAAAGGTTTTACTTTATTTGAAGCTATAGGTGCATGTACAGGATCACTGTTAGGAATGGGGAGGGAAAGCAACGAGCATGCCAGGTTATAGTACATTCAAATAACTGAGGCCCAATTGCGGGACTTCCCCCGCGCGCCATCGGGCCTGGGAGCAAACGCTTCTAGGCGGCACAACATATCTCCTTCCCACGGCCCTCCGTGAGATCACCCAAGCAACTATCCAGCAGCAACCACCTGTGGCCTTGAGAGATATACACGTTCCAGCAGCTAAGCAATTAAGCGCATCAACAGGTCTACATGTGAAAGCAAAAGCAATCAAGCGCATAGACAGGAAAACCAAAATAAAAGAAATCTGGCAGCTTGCTGACAACTCTACAGCATTGTGCCCCAGGGGTTCCCTTCCCTCCGCAAACCCCGCCCTCCCCAGCCTCTGCCCTTCAAATCTCCAGGGATTTCTCAACCAAGAACTGGCAGCCCTAGATAGCAACATCCAGGTGGGGTCTAGGGGTCTTCTGGGATTACATCCAGGGCAATTTTTGGGCAGGAACGCACAGGAATGGAGTTCCGGCTGGCTCCCGAGTTGGCCATACCCAGCAGGAACTCATTAGCATAATAGGCCACACCCAACAGCAGGAACTCATTTGGATTGGACTACATTAGGGGTGTGTGGCCTAACATGCAAAGGAGTTTCTGCTACAAAAAAAGCCCTGGGTTTTGACAACAAACAAGGTAAACAGAATAAGAAGCAAAAGGTGGGTGTGGCTGGATGAGCACACTTCTGGTAACACGGGGGTGTGGCCTCATATGCTAATGAGCTGTGGTGTCAGGGTGTGGCGTATTATGCTAATGAGTTCTTGCTGGGCTTTTTCTACAAAAAAAGCCCTGATTACATCCGAACTCCAGTTCAGGAGATTTTTTAATGGGGGGGGGGCCTTTAAATTAATTGGGGGGCACCCCACACAGGCACACACCCCCCCCCACAAGGGAGCGCCACAAATAAAATAAAAAATTGGAAGTCGGGGACTTCAATAAGAATCCCGTGGCGGTGCTGGGCTGCTTAAAGACAGCCAATGAATTCAGGTTGCTGTCAAAAGGAGAGACAGAAGCCTCATTGGAAGAGTGCTTTTCCTATCACACGTGGCCAGCTTGTCCGGCTTCAGCTGCGTGGGGGTATGAGGGCACTGCCTCTATACAGGAGAGACCTGCAAGAGACATGTCTCCAGGGAAGGCCATGTAGAGAGAGGGAGAGGACAAAGTGAGAGAGACAAGAGGAGTCAGAGGGCAGCTCCCAGGCTGAGACAAAAAAGGAGAGGCATCCCCTTCAAGGAGATAACACCTAGACTCTGTCCAGGCATGCTGAGTCTCTCACTCCAACGCATACTGCCTCTGGTACAGGAAGGAGCAGATCTCCATCATGGCCGATCACCATTGATAGCCCCATCCTCCATGAATTTGTCCCCTCCTCTTTTAAAGCCTTCCAAGTTGTCGGCCACCAGCAGGGTGTGTGTGTGTGGGGGGGGTATGGTTGCCAGATTCAGGTTGGGAAGCTCCTGGAGATTTGATGGAGCCCAGAGAGGACAGGGATTAAAACTCGAGGGCATCCAGTGAAGCTGATGGGCAGTAGGTTCAGGACGGACAGCAGGAAATACTACTTTACACAGAGAATGCTTAAAATGTGGCATTCGCTGCCAGAGGATTAGTGATGGCCACGAGAGTAAACAGCTTTAAAAGAGGGTTAGAAAGATTCATGGCGGATTGGTCTATCAATGGCTGCTAGCCATGGTGGCTGACGGGAACCTCCACATTTAGAAGCACTAAGCCTCTGGATCCCAGAGCCAGGAGGCAACCTCAGGGGAAGATTTCTATGCCCTGTTGTTGGCCCCCCAGAGGAACTGGTTGGCCACTGCGTGAGACAGGATGCTGGAGTGGATGGGCCACTGGTCTGATCCAGCAGGGCTCTTCTTGTGTTCTTATGAAGGCCTCGGCCTCTGTGCCCTGTTGCTGGCCCCCCAGAGGAACTGGTTGGCCACTGTGTGAGACAGGATGCTGGACCAGATGGATCACTGATCTGATCCAACAGGGCTCTTCTGATGTTCTTATGAAGGCCTCAGACTCTATGCCCTGTTGTTGGTCCTCCAGAGGAACTGATTGGCCACTGTGTGAGACAGGATGCTGGACCAGATGGATCACTGGTCTGATCCAAGAGGCTCTTCTGATGTTCTTATGAAGGCCTCAGACTCTATGCCCTGTTGTTGGCCCTCCAGCAGAACTGGTTGGCCACTGTGTGAGACAGGATGCTGGGCTAGATGGACCATTGGTCCAATCCAGCAAGACTCTTCTTATGTTCTTATGATTTCTTTTCTACCAAACTGGGAAGGTATCAAAATAGGGTTGCCAACTTCCAGGTGAGTACAAAAAAAGGGGGGAAATGCTCCATTTAGATAAACCTCCAAATATATCCAAAGACACTAAATATGATACTCACAAATTATTTACATAATCGGCAATAACAAACATACAAAACAATCACAATACAAATCTTGAAATTCATATAAATCAATTCTGCAAGGTCCCTGCCACACGGCAGGAATAAAACCGGGCAAAGTGCGGCTTTTAAAAGCCGCACCAAAATAGAGACGCCGCGGCGGGATCCCACGGATCCCCTGAGCCACGGCGCCGTTGCTCCCCGGCACGATCAGATGCCGGGGAGGAAGCGACAGTCGGGAGGGGGAGGCTGCCGAACTGCGCATGTCTGAGCATGCGCAGTTCGGCCAGGAGCCGGGGATGAGCCGGCGGAAGGACGCGCCGGCGATCCCACGGCCGGCCTTGATGTGCCCTTTCCCGAATAACCACCTAGGTAGGTGGTTTATTTTTGATGCGGGGTTTTGGGTGGAAGGGCCGGATCGGGAATGGGCGCGCCACGCTTCCCAGATGTTGCTGTGGGATCGCGCCCGTTTGCTGCGCCCCTGATCCGTCCCTCTCCCGGCCCAAAACCTCTCGTGTGACCGGGGCCCAAATAGTGCAAACAGGGAAGGATCCAAGTTCACGAGTCACAGAACAAAGGGTTAAAATGTAAACTGCAAATCCAAAAGTCCACTCAGTGCACCGATAGCACTTCAAGTGAGCATAATCCTCCGTTCCTGAAGACTTAAAGTTTTGTTCATATAGCAGCTCTGCAAGTTTCGTTCCAGCTGACAGGCGGGGAACCGGTGTTGTAGCACCTCCTTTCACTAAAGCTTTATCCAAGATGGAACTGTAAGAAGAAGATCCAAAATTACTGCATCATAAAATATTTCATATCACCGAGTTCTTCTAAATGGTTGTATGTTTGCTGTTGCAGATTAGGTAAATAATTTTTGAGTATCATATTTTTAGCGGTTTATTTATATGGAGGATTTCCCCCCCTTTTTTAATTCACTTCAGGGATCATTTCCTGCAGGAGCGGAGCTCCGGCAGTAAAGAGCCCAGGGGGCGGGCACATGCAAGAAGCCCCACCCCCTGCTCCCAGCAGCCCTCAGTCAGAGCAAGAAGCAGCCAGGTAAGTTGCAGAGCACCCCCCCCCCGGCCCCCCGGCCCAAAACAGTCCAGTGGCACCTTTAAGACCAAGTTTTATTCAGGTACAAGCTCTCCCCTGCTTTTGATTTGTCGACATTCACCACAGAAATCTCGTGCTCTGAGGTCTGAGTCTAGGACCCAGGGGAAAACATGAAATGGCTGCGTGATTAAGAGAGTCTGGCGAAGCAAGCCATGATGCAGCAGCAGCAGCAGAACTGGAAGCAAGAGATGGCCAGCTCCACTGTTGGCCTGAGAGAAGAAGCCCTCCGGGGGCCTGATCCGGCCCCCAGTCCACATGTTTGACACCCCTGCTCTATGGCATTATACCCCGCTGATGTCCTTTTCCTTTCATCCCCAAACCCCACCATTCCCAGGGTCCACCAACAAAAGTCGTAGTTCACGCAGGACATCAAAACCTTTGGGCCAGCCTTGGGACTAGGCACATATAGTGACCACACCCCCTTTATTGCAAAAAAATAATAATAATCATGTTGGAAATGATACAAACGTGCGGACATTTAATATATACACTTTTACACCCCGAACTCTTGTTCAGTTGCAGAATTTACATAAAGATAAAGGTCTCCCTTGCTCGAAAGCCAGTCGAGTCCGACTCTAGGGTTGCGGTGCTCATCTCCGTTTCGAAGCCGAAGAGCCAGCGCTGTCCGAAGACGTTTCCATGGTCATGTGGCCGGCATGACTAAAGACCAAGGCGCAAGGAACGCTGTTACCTTCCCACCGAAGTGGTACCTATTTCTCTACTTGCAGTTTCTTGCTTTCGAACTGCTAGGTTGGAAGGAGCTGGAACTAGAGACGGGAGTTCACCCCGTCATGCGGCAACTCGGATCTCGAACTGCTGAACTACCGGCCTTCCACAGCCTGCAGTTCAGCGTCTTAACCACTTGAGCCACCGCAGCTCAATTTACATACACACACGCATACACACACAGAGAGAGTTTGGGTACGGGGTATACAAAGCCATATGCAGAATTGGGGGAGTGGGTAAGCCCCTTTTCATCTGTTTCAAGACAACCCTCAGTAGCTCGGCTACTAGAAATGAGAGCGTACTATATACAATTTAATGAAACGTCTTCTCCAGA